GCTTGGGAGCCTGGGGGAGACTAAGGGTTATGCAAATTGTAAGTTGTTTACTGTTTACCTCCAGTTTCGAAGATAAGGACACATTTATCACTGGTATAATGAAATACTGTCTGGTGTTGATGTTTATACCTTACTCTCTTACACTGTACTTCCCTGTATGAACTGCAATAAAAACCTTGGTTAATGAAACCTTGGGATCTGTAGTTGGGGCTTCATGTCCCTGGTACCCCAAACCTCAATTCCACAGTATGGTCTCCCTTACTGCTTTGTTCCTGGTTACCATGGGTTGCAACCGATTTTTTTTTTTTTTTTTTTGGTCCAGTTGTGGGGCCTGAACTCTGGGCCTGAGCACTGTCCCTCAGCTCTTCAGCTCAAGGCTAGTGCCCTACCACTTGAGCCACAGCACCACTTCCGGCTTTTTTCTTTTTGTTTATGTGGTGCTGAGGAATCGAACCCAGGGCTATACCACTGAGCCAACTTCCCAGCCCCTCAACCGATTTTTTTTGTTGTTGTTCTTTTTTTTTTTTGGTCGTGGGGCTTGAACTCTGGGCCTGAGCGTTGTCCTTCAGCTCTTCAGCTCAAGGCTACCGCTCTACCGCTTGAGCCACAGTGCTTCTGGTTTTCTGGTGGTTTATTGGAGATAAGAGTTTCACGGACTTTCCTGCCCGGGCTCATTTTGAACTGGGATCCTCAGATCTCTGCCTCCTAAGTAGCTAGGATTACAAGGATGAGCCACCGGCTGTTCTTTTGTTCTGTTTACTCTTTTCTTTTTGTCAAATAGACTCTGTTAAACTGGCATTTGTGTTCATTTTGATAGCAGAGTTAGGGTAAATGCTCAACTCCAAGGGGTATCAAAAGTGGTGGGGAAGGAGCTTTGTTATGGTCACATGAAGAAGGATGAAGAGCTGATGTCTTACCAATCTGTATTCAAAATGCTTCTGGCAGTTTCTATTATATAGAAAAGAGAAATAATAGCAAGAATTGGGTTATTCAGTGTAGTAGGCCATGTTGTTTTGGGACTCTTGCTTTACGGGAATTTCAGTCCTTTTTTTTTTTTTTTATAAGTATTCATAAATTAGGCCTGTTGTTCCAGAGAACCAATATAACTATAGGAGAAAAGGTTCAGAAGACCTCAGAAAGAAGGAAATCAAACAAGATGGAATAAAAAACCATAAATGGAGTTTACTAGGTCAATGACTGGACCTTTTTCAGGTTTCCAGTATGAATCCATCATTAACATTTTCTGTGAGAGTGAGGCTAAAGGAAGGGACCTGTTACAACTTACCTTTCTTTTTTTTGTTGTTGTTGGTCATAGATCTTGAACTCTGGGTCAGGGTGCTGTCTCAGTGCTCTTCAGCTCAAGGCTAGCACTCTGCCACTTGAGCCACACTTCCAGTTTTCTGGTAGTTAATTGGATATATGTCTCAAGGACTTTCATTTGGAACCGTGATCCTCTGATCTCAGCCTCCTGAGTAGCTAGGATTACAAGAGTGAGCCACCGTCGCCCTGCTCAACTTCTTTTTCACAACCAAGAAATTATAAATTGTGCCAGAGCCAGTTGTCTTGACACTTACTAACATGTGTTTTGAATCTGAATACAAACATTACATCTGGAATGATCTTGTACATTTTGGCTATTTTTCTGAGTTTATGAGTGCTGTTACCTGTAAAGTCTGTCGCGAGGCATGGAAGCCCTGGCCTCCTCACCTCTTGGTTAAATCTTTGCCCAGTACAGCCATTATACACTTTCCCAAAGTGAAGGGCAAAATGGTCATTGGTCATGAACTTTCTATTTTCAGTACTTGCTTGGGTTTATAATGATGGGAGATTGTCAAACTACCAGGGAGGAAAAAACTACTTGTTTTACGTGTTTTTTGGTGCTGATTGAACCAGGGTGTTTTGAAGACCAGGGACATGGACTACTGAAGTATATTCACTCTTTTTGCTTTCCTTGGTTCTTTATTTTACTTTGTTTTTTTTTGGGGGGGGGCAGGGAGTGGAGTGAGGGTGGGAAGGTAGGGCTGGATCTGGGGCTTGAACTCAAGGCCTGAGCCCTGTTGTAGACTTTTTTGTTCAAGGCAAGATCTCACAGACTTTCCTGCTGGGCTGGCTTTGAACTGTGATATTCAGATCTCAGCCCCCTGAGTAGCTAGGGTTACAGGCTTGAGCCACTGGAGCCCAACATTTTTACTGTTTTGGAAGTGTAGAAAACAACTACAATGGGGGGTTGGGAATTTAGGTCAGTGGAAAAGCACTTGCCTGGTAAGTGAAAATCCCTGAGTTTGGTCCTCACCTCTGGACCAAACCAAACCAAAACCAAAGCAAACAAAAACATCTCAGGCTTCTAGCTGGATGCAGTGGCTCATGCCTATAATCCTTGCTACTCAGGAAGCTTAGATCTGAGGATTGAGATTCGAAGCCAGCCCTGACAGAAAAGTATTCCTGTGAGACTCTAATATGCAATAAACTACTCAAAAAAGCTGGGAGGGACTCAGTGGCTCAAATGGTAGACCTCTAGCTTTGAGTACAAGGAGGCTTAGGGACAGTTCCAGGCCCTGAGTTCAAGCCTTTAGGACCAGTAACAACAATAACAGCAAAACATCAACAAAACTTGCTGGCTGTCTGATTGGGTCAATTTTCAGTTTACTACTGGGTGGAAAAGCATCATTTGTATAAATATAGGTTGAACCTTCCCTGAAATATTGCAGAAGCTAGATTTATTTTATTCTTTGGTGAGCTGGTATCTTACTTCTTATGACAGGTAGGTGTACTAAGAATATTTTATAAAGTTACCTTCAAGTTATGTTTATAGGTGTATGAAACATAAGTGAATATTGTGTTTAAAACTGGCACATAAGATAAGGCTAATGCCTTATCTTTTTGTAAATATTCTGAAATTTGTAACTTCTGAAACTAGAATCACTTTGCATCGCCATCATTTCATATGAGGGTTTTTCAAGGGTATTACTTTTCTATAGTTTGCTGAACTGCAAAAGTTCTCAAAGGTAACAAGGTCAAGGCTTGCATGTGAAGGGAAGCACAGAAATGGAAGGAAAAAGGATGAACAAATGCAGCAATGGTACTCACTGGACACTAAGTTGAAAATGAACTATACAACTTGTGGGTACAGGGTAGGAGGGAAAAACTGGGAGAGAGCAAGGAAAGGGGTGACATTGTCCAAAAAGAAATGCATTCACTACCTTACTTACATAACTGTAACTCCTCTGTACATCACCTTTATAACAGCTTAAAAATTAAAAAAAAAAAGTCTAGGTCTGTTTCAGGTTATTTAGTTGGGTATTCCAGACAAGAGGTAACATTCTACGGAGCACCATTTCACCCTTCTCCCCATTTTTTTTTGGACATAATACATTTAAAACTTCTATTTAAATACAGCAAATGGGCAAATATTTATTGCTTAGTACAGAAAGAATTGGGTAAGTTTAATTGATTTCATTGTTAGAAGAATGAAAATATGGTAATTGAGAATTTACAGTATTTCTGTGGAAATACAGCTCCTCATATAGGAGTCGGATCTAGATTCACCTTTGTTTCTCTTGGTCTTGGCACAGTGCCTAGAAACATTTTTTTTTAAACAGGTGTTTGCTAATTGTTTGACAGAAATGAACTCTGTTCAAGTGATATTATTACTATTATTATTATTTTTATTTTGTTAGTACTGAGGATTGGATGTAGGGTCTGAATGCTACACAAGTGCCAACGCTGAGTTCCATTCCTAGTCATTTTTAAAATTAACTTATTTTTAAAATATATTGTTATTATTAAGGTATTTTACAGAGGGGTTACCATTTCATCAGTTAGGTAATGAGTACAATTCTTTTTGGGCAATGCCACCCCTTCCTTTGCTTTCTCCCAGTTTCCCAGTTCTTGTTTTCTGAGATAGGATCTCGCTATGTAGGCCAAGCTGGCCTTGAACTCACTATTCCTCCTGCCTCTGCCTCCTGATATTACAGCCATGTACCATTATGACTAGCTTCCATATGTTTTTATTCACTTTTCTGATGAAACGTATATAAGTGAGAAAATAGTTTTATTTTGGTTTCCGTATTTATCATACGTTTTCAGGCTGGGATTAAGCATGGGAGCTGATGGGTTTGCAAAAGGCAGGATTAGACCTATCCTTTCACAGTCCAGGTTGTATGATTCTGGCTAAATAAAAAAATCCTGTTCCATTGTTATAACAATTGTGATTTTGTTTTGTGAACTGTTAGCTACAGCATGATTACGCTGTTTCTTACCATGAAGTGTTTTTTTTTTTTTGTGCATCATAAAGCAAGCTAGTATATTCATATACATTATAGATGAAGCCATTGCTTTAAAACACAATTTTTAATCTGGATTTAGGGTTTAATGTTCAACTCATATTTTTTTCTTAAATTAAAAAACATGCAGGGTCTTCAGTAGACTGTAAAATGAAGGAGAAGCTTAGCTTTACTGTGGAGTCTGAGCTGGGTGTAACCTAACTAGCTAGAGGATATGCAATTCTTGATTGACAGCAGGACCAGCATTATGCAGATTTTCTGAGGGAGCACACCCAGCTTGGAAACTGATTGAGCTCTGTTACGAATCCTTACATTTACCACTCCTGTCTTTCTGTTTTCGGTCTACTGGATTTGTAAACAAATAGCACAAAACAGTTCCTTTTTTGTTTTTGTTAAACTGATACTGCAGTGCTGTTTCATTCTATCAGCCAAGCATACATGTTTGGGAATTCGATATTCTCACTAAATTAGCTAATTTTTAGCTGTGTTCATGCTTATCTATAGACCTTTGTGCATTAAATCCTATCTGGAGCTGTTCTCTTCATACACAAGTGTATTTTGCTTGTGCCTTCCTGTCTTCTCAGTGAGAAGCTTTATGTAGGTCAGGCTTGGCTTAAGCAGATTTCCTGAACCTGCGTCAGCTTAAGCTGGAGGAATTTTAATAAACCCTCCCCTGTAGGCGTGGGCCTAAATGAGGCTAGCCTAGTTAAGCCTGATCTTTTTCTGTTTGTGAAAAGAGCTGAGCAGAGCTGAAGGCTGCATGGTGGTTTCAGAAACTGCTTACTTAATTTCAAGAGAACAATGGTAGGAAAGGCTAGATCTTCCAATTTTACCTTATCTGAAAAGCTTGATTTGTTAAAGCTTGTGAAGCCATATGTGAAAATTCTCGAAGAACACACTAATAAACATTCAGTAATAGTAGAAAAGAATAGATGTTGGGATATCATAGCAGTTAACTATAATGCAATTGGAGTAGACCGCCCTCCTCGAACAGCGCAGGGCCTACGTACCCTTTACAAAAGGCTCAAAGAATATGCCAAACAGGAACTATTGCAGCAAAAAGAGACCCAATCAGATTTTAAAAGCAATATTTCTGAGCCATCCAAGAAAGTTATGGAGATGATTCCCCAGATATCCAGTTTTTGCCTGGTAAGAGACAGGAACCACATACAAAGGTAAGCTTTATTTTATTTTGTTGTGGAAAATTATGGCGCCTCCTATCTATTGGGCTTTGGCTTAGTTGTGATAGAGATATGCATAGCAAGCATCCCCACTCCGGAGCAATGAATGGTGTCTTTGTTTTGCTTTCTTAGAAAAAGAAAGTGGGCTATAAGGAATTTTTCTGTTGCTTTTGATTTAATCCCCTTTTTTCTGTCTTGTCCTCTCTTTTCCCACCTTTAGTTTCTGAAAGTAAAGGTTAAGAAAGAGTAAATGGGATGGAATTTTTGACATCACTTCATAAACTTTTTAAGTTTCAAAATTAAGTTATTTGTTTCTGAGAGATACCTTTTTATTTTAAGATTATCTTTTCTTGGATTTCTAAATTTTCTGTAAAATTTATGTAAAGTTGGCACTTACAGGAAAATGGAAGCTGCTTTTTTATAAATTGTCACCATATATTTATTGAATATACGTTGAACTAACATCACCAATTAAACTTATTAAAGGCATGATTTTGTATATAAAGACATTTTTCTAACATTTAAAATAAATAAGATGGATCCAACTAAAGAGACTTTAAGGAAGAGAGAGACTTTAAATGATTCAGATTACTTAATAAAATTAAAAGTTTTTGTTTATATTTATTATTGATCTAGTTTCACTTTGATCATACACAAAAGGATAAGCTTTCTTATATTGGATATCAAAATGTATATTTAAATCTACCCATAGGAACAGTTGAGTTCTTTAGGGTTAAAAATAATTTTGTGTTAAATTTGTGTTGTATAGAACTATTTGTCCAGGATTCTTCAAAACTGTTACCATTCCACTAATTTAAATTTCTGCCCTTGGCCAGAAGTAAAAAGAGAAGCTGTAGTATTATGAGTAGTGTAGGGTAATCCTTGTTAATTAAAGAACCTTTATATCTTACTGGTAGGGAAGGTATTATATTAGCAAAATTACTGATTATCTGTGAAATCTCTTTGAAGTTAGAAGACAAATAAAGAACTTTTTAACTGAACAAAATCTATTATTTTGGCAGTTTACTAGGAAAATATTTTTGAGCCTAGCTTCTTGTCATGCTTTTAATTGTCTTGTTTTTAATTTATAGTGCAGTTAAAAAATTTCTCTAGTGGAATCCAGGAAATATATATACACATTGGATTACTTCTTGGGGCCATCAGTTAAAAATTTCACTGTGATGACAAATGAGATTCTAGTATGTTACTTCCCCAATAACTCCACAGTAAACTTGTTCTGTGCTACTTATGAGGTTTTCCACTACTCTCAAACTGTAGAGAACAATAGCCTTGATATTATAGTTGTAAAAAACATGCCTTTTGGGTATTAAAGTTAAATTTTTGTAACTTGAAAACTACATAGAAACTGTAGCTTTGCTTAGTTGCATATTTGAAAAATACAATGAGTATAGAAGAGAAATAATATATAATGCTATAAATATTTACACTTTGACTATTGGTGTGATATATATATATATATATATATATATACTGTATACATGCACATGTTTTGACACCATCATCTTGGTAAAAATGAGTTAGTGGATTTATGCATATCTATACATAATTTAAATAATACCTTTTTAGTAGATTTTAAAAGGAAGAATATAAAAAATTCTTAAATTTTTACCAATGATAGTGGCTACACTGACACCTATATAGGCTTATTTTAATATATTTAGTGTATATTTACTCTGTTGACATCATTTTCAATCTTAATTATCTCAGTTTATAATTGTTATTTTAATTATGCTTCTACATAAATATTAGTATCATTAAACTCTTCCTTTATGAGAAAGTATTACAACTTATTTAAAGTATTTAAAATATATTTCTGTTTTGAAAGTTTATTTTTATGACTCATTTATTTTTGCCTTTATTTTTTACCTCTCTCTAATAATTAGATTATAATCTGTTTTTATGGCCTTTTTGATTCTTTCAATTCATACATTTTAGAATTCCCTATCTGTTTATCATTTTGTGGCCTTCTCTAAAATTTTTTTACTTCATTATGCTTCACTTGGAATGTTTGAACTAAAATGGAATGGGATGTTCCACGTATAATCATATTTTTAACTTACATGGAGTATAATGTCTGTTTATATTCTACCATGCACACTAATTTGGAACACTAATTAGGTGAATTTTCAAAACTTGATTTTCCTATTCCAATTTTCATTACAGATTTTTAATAGAAGTAAATCTTTATTTGAATTACATTTATAGTCCTTTATTTTGCTTTTGGAAACCATAAAATGAAGACAGATGAGAACAAAAAGTGGGGCTGGGAAGGTGGCTCAGTGGTAGAGTGCTTGCCTTGCATGCATGAGTCCCTGGGTTCAATTCCTCAGCACCACATAAACAGAAAAAGCCAGAAGTGACGCTGTGGCTCTAGTGGTAGAGCGCTAGCCTTGAGCTAAAGAGGTAAGGAACAGTGCCCAGGCTGAGTTCAGGCCCCATGACCAAAAAAAAAAAAAAAAAAAAGTGAGAAAATTATACAATCTTTAATTATGTTTTCACTAAAACATAAGTCTCACTGAGTTATTTTCTTTAAGACAAATATCTGATATTTATTAGCAATTTACTGTCATTAGTGAGAGACAGGAGTTTAAATTTTTCTTCAGTTCTACTATAACTTACTTATCTTTTATAAAATACTCTGTAAAGAATGTTAACATGCTGGGCACTGGTTGCTCATCTTTGTAATCCTAGTTACTCAGGAAGCTGAGATCTAAGGATCTCTGTTTGAAGCCAGTCTGGGCAGAAAAGTCCCTTTGAGATTCTTTATCTCCAATTAACCACTCAAGTACTGATAGTGGAGCTGTGGCTCACAGTGGTAGAGTACTAGCCCTGAGCAAAAGGGCTCAGGAACAGTGCCTAGGCCCTGAGTTCAAGCACATAATCGCCAAAAAACAAAAAAAAAACGTATTTCTTTTTTTTCAATAGGATTTGGCTTTTATGCATAGGCTGGCTGGATTGTTGTCTTCCTGCTTTTGTTTCCCTTGTATTTGGGATGATAGGCCTATATTGTTGTGCTCAGCTTTTATTGATTGAGATGGAGGTCACAAGCACTTTTTTTTGCTGGTCCTGGGGCTTGAACTCAGGGCCTGGACACTGTCCCTGAGCTTTTTTGTTCAAGGCTAGCACTCTACTACTTGAGCCACAGTGCCAGTTCTGGCCACTTAGGGCTTTTTCTGTTTATGTGGTACTGAGGAATTGAACCCAGGGCTTCATACATGCTAGGCAAGTACTCTTAAGTCATAAGAACTTTTGGTCTGGATTGGCCTCTGTTATCATCCTGATAACAGTTGAGTGAGAATGCAAGGCTCTTGAGTTCAAGCCCCAGTACTGGCAGAAAAAAAAATAATTAAAATTTATTTTGTGTTCACTTATATGTTCAATATAGTCAACAAATTATGAGTTCCTACTTTGTCTAAGTACAGCGCTGTGTTATACTAGTGCCAAAAATACCTACTGTGTCTAATACAGTGTTGTTTTATACTAGTGCTTGCTCTGGTGACCTGTACTTGATGGTTGGAAGACTTAAAGAGACATTGAATCACGTGGTTCAGAATAAGGGGGGAGTATCACTGACCTGAAATACTAAAACATTTTGTTAGGCATTTGCCAAAGTAACAAAATGTTTTAGTTATTTATTTTTGGCAAATGTAGAAATTAATCCCTCCCTTTTACCATTTTCAAGAAGTCATGGCCCTTGATTGTTTTTTGGTCAACTAAAAAAGATCTAGCAGTATAGAAATGGAAGATTTAGGGCTAAGGTATGGGAACAACAAGGATTAGAACACATGAAATGGCCCTTTAACCATTTTACTCCTATACAACGAAGTATAATAGGGATGATTTTTCCAATTAAAATTTTCCATTTAAATAGTAAGGCTAAGTGGTGTTTCCTTGAGAACATAAAAATGGATTTTGAATTTATTTACCTCTATAACATAATACTTGTAATTTTCTATGCTATTAAAAACCTAATTTTGAAGTTAAGGATGGGGAAGGCTAAGATGGTGCTCAGTAGTAGAGTGTAGAGCATGCTCTAGGTTCTGGGTTCATTCTCCAGCACCATAAAGCCAAACAAAATGAAACAGGATATTATTGGTATCCTAATCATAATAATTTATTATTCTAAGGTTAAGCCTTTTATTCATAATTTTCTGAATAGTTTTGTGGCGCTGTGTGTGTGTGTGTGTGTGTGTGTGTGTGTGTGTATTTGAGTCGTGGGACTTGATTAGGGCCTGGGTGTTGTTCTAATCTTTTTTGTTCAAGGTTAGTGCTCTATCACTTGAGCCACAGCTCCATTTCTGGGTTTTTGGTGGTTAACTGGGAATCTCATGGACATTATTGCCTGGGCTGGATTTGAATTGTGATCCTCAGGTCTTAGCCTTCTAGGGTTATAGACGTAAGCCACTGGTCCCTGGCTGAATAGTTTTATTAGTTTTAAAGATATATAGACATATTTTTATTTTTCATTTTTCTTTCTTTTTTAAAAAATTTTAATCAGATTTTAGTATGTAGCCTACTTTTGATCTTCCTGCCTCAGCCTCCTGAGTGCTGGGATTATAGGTATATGCTGTCATACCATGCTCAAAGCTTTATAATTTAATGTATGTTAAATATGAAATTATACTTTTATCTTCATTTTGGTTTACATTTTATAATGCTTTTTTTATATGCTATAGTGCAAACTTGGATGAGGCTGCACAAGCTGGTACCAGTTCACTACAGGTAATGTTGGATCACCATCCGGTTGCTATTACAGTGGAAGTAAAGCAAGAAGAAGACATTAAACCACCACCTCCACTGATTTTCAATCCTCAACACAGTGATACTTTAGAGCAAAGAGAAGAGCATGAATTAGTACATGCTATGGACAGATCTTTGTCACCCTCCCTTTCCTCTGTTGATATGAGAATGACATCTCCATCTTCTATTCCAAGGAGAGATGACTTTTTTCGGCATGAGAGTGGACAGCACTGTAGGTCATTATTAGGGTGTGATCCTCAGATTCTGCAAATGTTAAAAGAGGAGCATCAAATAATTTTAGAAAATCAAAAAAATTTTGGATTATATGTTCAGGAGAAGAGGGATGGATTGAAAAGAAGGCAACAGCTAGAGGAAGAGCTACTAAGAGCAAAAATTGAAGTGGAAAAGCTGAAAGCAATTCGATTACAGCATGATTTACCTGAATACAATAGTCTCTAAGATTTTTTAATCTTGCAATTTAATTTTTAAAAATATACTCTTGATTCTTTTAATTTTGACCAAAATTTACTTCAATTTGAAAATATTCTGAAGCAGAGCGTAGGTTCTTGAAAAATGTTCATCTCTATTATGGAAAAACTTTTGACATTTCTCATTCTCTCTTTCTCTCTATTTGGTTTTTGTTGGTACTGGTTTGAATTGAGTGCTTTGCAGGAGACAAGCACTCTGCCACATGGGTCATACCAGCCTCCCTACCCCCTTTTTATACTTTAGTTATTTTTCATTTAGGGTCTTGTTTTTGCCTGGGACTAGCCTTGGCCTATGGTTCTACCCATGCCTCCCCTGCATCTAGGATTTTAAGTGTGTACTACTTATCGATTTGTTTATTGAGATACAGTCTTGCTAACTTTTCCCCTGAGCTAGTCTTGAACCATGATTCTCTTGACCTCTTCCTCCTGAGTAGCTGGGATTACAGGTGTGAGCCATACCAGGCCGTGTATATGTTTTTTTTTTTTTTATTTTGTGTGTGTGTGTGTGTTTTGAGAAGGTATGTATCCCAGGCTGACTTTCGATTCTTGATCTTTCTGCTTCATCTTCCTCCTTGGATTATAGGTGTGTATTACATTATCTTAGTTTTTCTTTTCTGATACAATTTTTAAAATATATAATATTCTTTTAGATCATAAGATTTACTGATTGGTTGGCATAGTAATATTTTTCATGATCTTCTCATTTTTATAGTATGTTTACTTGTTTGTCTTTCAAAAGAGCTTTTGATAATTAAAATCTACTTAAATATATACACATGTATTTATCCAGATTTTTGAATCCTCAACATTTTTAGTTAGAACTTTGAAAGTAGTAGTTAATTATACACATATGTTTTTCATGCTTGGGACTACATCCTCAGCATTTTTTTTTTTTTTTGGGTCCGGTCATGGAGCTTGAACTTTGGCCTGGGCGCTGTCCCTCAGCTCTTCAGCTCAAGGCTAGCGCTAACCACTGAGCCACCTTTCCAGCCCCACCTCAACCTTTTTTACAACATGGTTTTCTTGTTGTGTAGCCCAGGTGGCCTTGAAATCCTCATGCTTCAACCTCTTTATTTTTTCATTTTTAGTTCTGGGGCTTGAACTCAGGGCCTGATTCCTGTGCCTGAGCTTTTCTGCTTAAGGCTAGCATTTTACTACTTTGAGCCACAGTTCCACTTCTACCTTTAATTGGTTAAATTGGATATAAGAGTCTCACAAACTTTCCTGCCCAGGATGGCTTTGAACCATAATCCTCAGATTTCAGCCTCATGAATAGCTAGGATCACAGGTGTGAGCCATGAGTGCCTGGCTCATGCTTCAGCCTCTTGAGTACTGCAATTATAGGCTTATACCACCAGACCTGACCCAAAAGCTTTAAAAATATTTTGTAAACCCTAATTTAGAATCTATACTAACAATAACAAGTAGTTTGTCTATATGACACTTTAAAAAATATTTTTTTTTTTTTTTGGTCCGGTCGTGGGGCCTGAACTCTGGGCCTGGGCACTGTCCCTCAGCTCTTCAGCTCAAGGCTAGTGCTCTACCACTTGAGCCACAGTGCCACTTCC